CGAAACGAAACTAAATAAAAATGAAAAACAAAAAAAAATATATATATATATATACACAAAATATATATCGTGACATATTTTGAACGATGGCCGCTGAAAAATATCGCACGTCCATTTTTAGAGCTTGTCTTATCAGCTCACCTCGAACGAGAGCAAGGATAGAGTGGTGCTCGTATATGAAGACCGTATACAAGTGCGGAAAAAGGTAAAGAAAACCGTGTTACCTGAAAACCGTTTTGGATACGATGATAATCGATGTACATTACATACTATGTTATATCGTTTCGTTGCTTTTGTGCGCGCGCTTCACGATCCACGCGCCCCTCGCGGGTAATACGTTCTCGCTTGTATACACGGATGTGAAGATTTATATATATATATATATAAAAAAAGAAAAGAAAAAAACATAATAGTACGATTTTCATTTTTCCAGAGAAGGAAAAAGAAAAGAGAAAAATTAACGGAGAGAATAATGAAAAGGGATAAGAGATCAGAGATCTTCAATCTTTGAGCAACCACGAAAGATTTTATTCCCATCGAAAACTCTGAGGGCCGGTTCTTAAATAAATAAATAAAAGATTTTCATCGTGAAGGGATGAAAAATCCTTGAATTTATACTCTCACGTCGTATACAAGCACGGGCATTACACGCTATGCCACGAGCGCGTGGGATCGCGGGCGCGTGTGCAATCTTCCACGATGTTTATCAAATGTGTGTGTAAGATCTATATATGTATATACATGTATATGTATATGTATATATATATATGTATATGTACACCAGTGTATGGCCGTTGGGAGAATATGAGGCAGCTTTTCTTGTCCTTCGAAGGAAGGATCAGGACGAAGGACACACGAAGGCCTCCCCATGCATCCCCTTGGTGGTCGAGAATTATATCGTGTCGCGTGGCTGATCCTTGGATTGGCTTCTGGGTGTCTGCTTACCCCGAGATACGTTTACTTCCCTCGCTTCTTCTCCATCGCATTCTTCTTTCTTCTATTACTCCTACTCCATGCGTTTACTCCACGTATCTCGAAACTCACGCACACGTAGATTTCCGATATTCTATCTTTTCTTTCGAAAAAAAAAAATTGTGAAACTTGGATTTTTCGAAAAAAAAAAACTTTCATTTTCGTTCCCCTCGCTTTCGAGAAAAGGAAATTTTCTCGATTTTCCTTTGCTTTCGCGGTTTCCTCTCTCGGTTCTTGCTTACTTTTTCTTACTTTTCCTTTCTTTCGCGATCATCCCTCCCTTTTGGCATGGCGCCCACTCGAGCCTCGTCGTGTTGCGGCTGACTCTTGATCTGGCTTTCTGATTTATGCATCTCTCTTATCCGGTGATCCTACGCTTCTTCATGCCCCACCTGCATCCAAATAGAACAAGCGTATCTTCGTCCTTCTCCCATCCATCCCCTCGTCCACCCTCAATCCACCCTTCGTGGCTTTGAATCCGCTGCTATAAGTTTCTTTTACTTTAGCGAGCTTTCCATTCGCAGCTAGGTCGAGATCGTCTCGGAACAAGCACGAGGATAATTATTTTACGATGTCTGGTTACTTCTTAGGGGGATAGAGAGAGAAAGAGAAAAAGAAATCAGGGTAAACTCGGACAGGGTTAATAATATATTTCGGCTCCAGCGAAGTAGATTTTAAGCTCCTTTCTTTTTTTTTTTTTTTTTTTACGCCTTTTCTTTCGGCCACGTCCGCCATTTCGTTTTCCCTTTTGTTCGCCGCCTCTGTCCAAGTTTTTAGGGGGATGAAAGATCGCGACGTTGCTTCCTATTCCATAAAATTGAAATTTTATGGAGAATTTTTCGTTTCTTGACGCGTGAATGAAATAAAAATATATATATATAAAGTGATTTGATATATTTCAGAAATTTAGTGTTTCTCAATCTACAAGATTTCTAATCTTTATAAGAGATAAAATTTTTCCAAATTTTCAATATATTTCAATGTATAATCTATAGAGACTATATTAACGCAACGAGGGTGCAATTAATCTCAAAGAAGAACGTACAATTTCACATAATTTACTTTCTCATCACGATTTGTTGAAAGGATGAAGTACGTTAGGAAACACGGAAAATTTCTACTATTCCTTTCTATTCCTGCTAAATTTTCGAACGTACGCATACGAATCGTTTTATTATCTCGCCTACTTCAACAATTCCATACCGCCGTCTTTGCATACGTCTATGCTCCCCTTTCGTCGCTTAATTTTTAACCCTTTAAGTCGCGTGATTCATTTTACGATCGAGTTCACCTTTCAAGTCCCCGGTGCTGCGTGCACGGGATACTAATGGCCCTCTGCCTTTAATAACCGACCCGCCTCATCCGCGCCCTCCTCGTGCCAACCGATGATTAATGCATCCCCGTTACGAAGGCGAGGACGAAATTCGCGACCAGATCCTTTCACGCCGTCCTAATGCGTTTCCCTTGTATTGTGCTAATGCCACGCGACTCCGCGCAAACGTGAGCATCGCGTGTACGTGACTGCCTCGCGATCCTCCGCGCCTCCGTTTCGAGATTCACCGGGGAATATCGTTTATCCTTCCATAGAAATTTCATTATCTTTCGTTATCTCCCGTTTCCCTTATTTTCATTTTCGCTTTTTCGAAACGAAACTTCTGTTCTTGTGCGTTCTTTGATTATGTTGAAATAATCTTTAATTTCCCCGCTTTTAATATTTAATTCAATCAATGGCTCTAAGTAAAGGGATCCGTTTCGAAAGAGAGATTTTTATTTTCTTTTCTTTCGTTAATTTTCATAAAAATTGAATTTCTGAACACGGGGTTTTTATTTTCATCTTGAACTTGATAGAATTATCGTGAGATCGAGAAAGGTAAATAGTTTTGCTTTGCCTTTGTCAATTTCCCAATGGTATCGTGCCAATCCCGTCATTCAACGCCCCACAAACTTTTACGAGCAAAGCCTCGGGTCTTTTTGCGTCCCGAGAACTGCGTGAACTCCAACCGAGGCTGGATCAATCGCGCGACAAACCCGACTCGTCGCGAACCGAAATAACGCGCCACCGAAAGAGAACAACACGCGTATCTCGTGCGTCATCGGGCAAAAAGGAAGCAACGCGACCACCTCCCCCCCCCTTCCCTCTCCCCCGTGTATTAAACCCCGTTTCACGCGACGAATTTCGAGGATCCATCTTTCTTCGGATCTAAAACCATCTCTCGTATCGTATTCTCTCTTATCCGATTGTCAGTGGAACATTTTCCGTGACGCGATTTTGAGAATAAAAATTCTCGAGAGAAAGGGAGAGAGAGAGAGAGAGAATCGTTTTCAAGAAAATATAAAAAATAATAACAATAATAATTTTCGAAAGCAATTTTCCAGAATTCTTTTTTAAAAACGAATATCATTCGTCCCTTTTTTATCTTGGTGTCCTGATTGGATATATTATTTTTATAGAATAAAAAAAAAAGCGACATTCAATAATCGGGTTAAAAGTTGGATATTAAACTCCGGATCGGTTCTCTCTAATCTTGTCGTTAACCGTAACATCAGTGCTAATGGTAGCACACGGTCTTTGGCATAAAGTTTGGCGTGACGCGATATCAAATAGAAATTCGCCAACTGTGATCAGTTAGCTTGACGATTCCTCTCTCCCTAACTTTCCCCTCGTACTTGCCCGTCTAATTATTATTATTCACCAGGGATGGTTGATTGCATTCCTCAATGGGGGACGCGATTCAATTTAACGGCCGCGCATAAATTTCGTTCCCGTCGCGCGAACGAGCCTTGAGTTTAAACCGCGCAGCTGCATCGCGCGGTTGGACAGGAAGAAGGAGGAATCGCGGACAGGCCGGTTGAAAAGGATTAACGACGCTTGTCGAACTCGACAACGTCGAGCGAGACCACCGCGAATATATATANATTTTGCCCGGGGAAAGGTTTCTGTACGAGGATCTCCGTTACTTTTTTTTTTACTCGCGAATATTCTGATTTTATCGTTACTTGTTAATCTTAGAGTTATTTTTGGAGGATGTATGGTTCCTTGTTCGACTACATTTCGATTAAAATTTATATATATATATATATATATAGAAATCGTACATTCGAAGTACAGTTGGGTATATACGTAGAGACGATTGAGGAGAAGTATGGTTAAAGGGAGGAAAAGCTTGATCGAATAACGTGAAATTGGCTTTTATTTTTTCGCAAATGGCCAACAAATGTTTGAGTTGGATAATAAATGGCGAAGCTTCGACGTATGTATCGCATTCTCAGAGTAACTTTTGCAATGCACCAATGTACGCAAAATGCACTGCTGCGTTTGTTTTTCTTTCTGTTTCTGAGATCTCTGTAGCAACGATTATTCTTCGACGAAGATTGGCGTTATCGATTCGATAACGATCCTTGTTCGAATGGAAGATAAAACTTCGAAGATACGATGTAAAACACGTGAGTAGATATGGGGAAAAGAAAAAGAAAGAAAGAAAGAAAGAAAGAAAGAAAAAGGACAAAGAAGAGTTATCGTTACGTTATATCGAAGGAGGATTGGTTGCAGAGAACGCGTCATTCGAACGAACACGATTGATACGAAAACTCAAAACTCACAGACGGTATTGCAATTAATGGCTTGTCA